GGCATGAGCCACCGCCTCCGGCCACATATAACTTTCAACTCCCTCAAAACGTAACTACTAATAGCCTACTGTTGTCCAGAAGCCTAACCAATAACATAATAGCCAATTAACACATATTTTGTATATGTATTATATACTGTATTCTTACAATAAAGTAAGCTAGAGAAAAGAAAACGTTATTAAGAAAATCATAAGGAAGAGAAAATATATTTACTCTTCACTAAATGGAAGTGGATCATAATAAAGGTCTTCCTCCTTGTCATCTTTATGTTGAGTCACCTAAGAAGAGAAGGGGTTGGTTTTGCTGTCTCATGGGTGGCAGAGGCAGAAGAAAACCTACATACAGGTGAACACACACAGTTCAAACCCTTGTTGTTCAAGGGTCAACAGTAGCACATAAAAGGCACTTAATTATGTAAATGTAACATGAATAAATGCTTTTCAGGTGATGGTAGAATTGACCACTAGTTGTAGAACATGAGTTTATGGTGACACTAACTTACTCATATGTGTGATTTTATCCAATAGGGCTAAGCCATTTCCTAGATGGCAGGTCTGGCAGAGGCAGAGAGTTGAGGATTTGCCAGGTAGAAATGATGAAAGGAAAATGTAAGTGTTTGGGACGTTGATTAATGATGGACCATGAAATCACATGGAGAGAGAAGAAACAAAGGCAAGAGGTTGCTCATGCAGGGAAAAAGTGAAAGGATCAACAGACTGGAGGTCCTGACAAGGCTGACAAAGCAGCACCTTGAGGGCTTATCTGGGGGCTGAAGTCAGAGGGTGGGATGTCAGACTGAATTATTTCAGAGGGCAGATGAGGCTTAGGATGAGCTGGCCTGGAACAGAGGTAAAGGACTCTGGGATAAAAAGATCTAAGAATTGAGAGTCTAGGTCTTAGAATGGTCTATCCACATGGATGTTTGGGTCTCTTATAGATTTCCCCCTCTTCAAGATTCCTGCTCTGGACCCCATCCAACCCTTATCCTCGGCCTTCAGAGAATCTGCATTCACATTTCAACTTAAGCTTCAGATCCTAAAAGGGCAGTGGCACGACTCTGGGTCAGAAAACAGAATGGGGGAAAAGAAAGGGCTGTAGTGGACATCTATTTTGTTTTATTTTGTCTTGACACCAGCATTTATACACCTTCCTGGAAATAGTATCTCTATGTTCTCTGGAGGACCTATCATAACCCCACTTCTTCAGTCTCAGTTCTCAGTCCATATGCGAGTAGAGCAGTCTTCCTTCCACACCCTTACTCCAAGGGTGTGTATGTGGCTCAGGCCTGTCAGAAGAGGGATTCATGTGAATACTTTGGTGGGTAGTTCAGGGATGGATATGTAACCCACTAAAGCCCATAAGGCACAATGAGACTTTTTCAGAAACTGTTGTCAGAGTGACAGATTTTCAGCTTCACTTGAATCTGCTACAAGACTTAAGAATGAAGTCAGCACAGAAGACACAGCTAAGAAATGGACACTGAATCCTGATAACATTGAATTAAGTCCCCACATCAACCCTACTACCTGAAGTCAGCCCTACTCCTGCACTTTGCACTTACAAGTTAATATAGTCCCATTTTGTTTATGTCTGTTGGATTTTATTTTCTGTCACTTACATCCAAGTGATTTCTCACAATTCAAGAGGATGGACACACACACTCTCAAGGCCTCAGTTTCCCCCTTATGTAAACGGACACCTCCTTCAAAGAGTTGTAAAAATTAAATGGGATATATAAGAATACAGCAAGAAGGTATCTGTCTGCAAACCAGGAAAAGGGCCCTCACCAGGAACCAAATCGTCTGGCACTTTGATCCCGGACTTATCAGCCTCCAGAATTAGGAGAAACAAATGTTTGTTGTTTAAGCTAAAAAAGATTAAATGGGATAACAGATATTACAGTATAATTTTTTCCACATTACTGAAGAGCAAAAACATCACATTATTTATTTTTTATAAATTAAATTAAAGCTGTCTCAAAACCCCCATTTACTAGGGTTGGAAGACAACCAACATCAATCATTTACTGGGTCCTTTTTCCCTCTTTAGTGTGGTACACACTGACAAAAAAAAAAAAACAAAACACCGAAAAACTTCGAAAAGAGCCTCTGGTCTTCAGTCCATCATGGTTGTCCCTGGGATGCCCATTGTCTAAACTCATATGGTCCATTCAAAGGCAGGTGGTTTCACAGCATTTCTTCCAAGTATGAAAACCAGCATTTTTTGCTGCAGTTCCCAAGATTACATGTTAGATGTTTAGTCCCCCAGCCATTAAATCACCTCTCCCCATGAGAAGTCCCGCTGCCTCCTAGAGGAATTCTGTACAGACCCACACATATAACCCATCACTACATCTCTTTTCTGAAGTCCCTGGGTCCACTGCTATCCTTGGGCAATTTCTCTTCTTCCAATCCAACACCTCCTCCATCTTCTCCTTTTCAAGAACACCCAGCTAAATTAAATTCCATTCCCACACAAGAACCTGGATAAAGTTGTAGAACAGGTGTTTTTCTACTTTGCTTTGGGACCAGAAAACACAAAATTCACTAACAATCCCATGGAACAAGAAATCCAGAATTCCTGGAAGAAAGGAGAGCAAAGTTACCTTTTTATCCTACTGGGTGTCTCCTCTGGCGAGGAGTAGGAGATATAAATTAATAACTTGGTAAATTATCTTGCCATAAATGTAAATTAACAACCACAGAATAAGTACGCAGTATTACCTTCTATTTCCCATCAGGACTTAATTTACCTTCATTATCCAAAGGTTGCACACTCAAATACCAGGCAGTAATATCAATGAGTAAAAATGGACAAATCTAAGAAAAAATCATGGGCACAATGATAAACAGCAACTGGCCTTCAGTCTTGGCATTAACTATAAGAACATGGTGAGAACTACAGTGAACTGGAGAGCACATGTCCACTCCAAAGGGAGCAAATGCTACTTAGCTCCAAACAGCCTCTAATTTGTGGGAATGCAAGCCCAGTGTTGCCAGATTTTGAGTTGGACATATTGATTATTATGTATAACCTACTGATTACAATATTGGCTATTCATTCAAGTTTTTTTTTAAAAAGCACTGTTGGCCACATTGAGTCACATGTTACACACCAATAGGTCATCTTTATGCTTTCAGTGGTTTCAGCTGCTACATAATATGCTACTAGATGTCAGATTTACATCTCCCCCATAGTCTGCTCTCCCAAGCTTCAGATCCATGTATCTAAGTATCTCTTGCCTAGCTTTACCTTGAGGCATCATAGGAACCTAAAATGGAACCCATCACCTCCCACCACAATCCTAAATTGGTTCCCAGGTCTATGTTCCCTATCTCAGTGAAATAGCACCAATATAAATCCAGTTTCCCAAGTCAGAAATCTTGGAGTCATTCTCAACTTCCTCTCTCCCCTACCTCATCCCCTTGGTAACCAAGTCTAATCAATTATACTTCTGGAATTCTACTTGAATCTATTATTCTCCATTCCTGCCATCACTACCTTGGTTTAGGCCTCATTTTTTGTTTTGCTTTAACTAAAGCAAGAGTCTCTCTTGCCCTCACTATAGCTACAGTGTTATATTTCCAAGACACAACTTAATGTTGTTACTTCCTTGTTTAAAGTCTTCAATGGTTTCCCACCACCTTCAGGACAAATTTCCAACTTCTTAGCCTGGGATTTAGGGCTCTTTGTGATCTTGTCTTTCCAGGTTCACCTCCTACCACTTCCCCAACTCCCCACCCCCCAACCCCGAATGCTACAGCCACACTGAAATACTTTCATTTCCATAATGGGACATGCTTTCCCTGCCATAGCACCTTTACGCAGGCTGTTCATATTGCTTGATTGTCCTTTTCTCACTCCCTACACTATATCCTCATTTTCTTGGTCCCTCAAACCAAGCATTAATCATCTCTTCTGGGAAGCACCTCCCAACAAGCAACTCTCTTCTCCAGACTGGTAGATACCTGTTTTCTACACTCACAGTAGCCTGGGCATATCTCTATTTTCATTGTCTATTACTTCACTATTTCCCCTACGGAAATGGGGACCTACTTCAGTGCAGAGATTCTATCTAAACTTCTCAAGACTGAGCACGATATCTGATCCGTAACAGGCACTCAACAAATGTATGTTGCAAGAATGATTTAATCAATCTAGTCCAACTCATGGCGCCAATGGAGAAACCTCTCTTGGCTTCTCAGGATCATGTGACCGGCCAGTGCCATTCAGTGACAGAGCTAGAGAACCCAAGTCTTCTCACTTTCAGCTTGGCACACTTTCTACCAAACTAAGTTGAACTTTGATATAGGGCAAGAGGAGTGTTAAATCGTACTGGGAAGGCAGGAATTGAAGTTTAGCTCTGAAAGAAAGGGCTGACACGGAATAGAGTGATGGTTTTAGGGGAAAGTGGAGCAAATGAAGAGAAATAGTCAAGCATATTTGATTTATTTGTCATCCTTAACATGAATGCTCAAAAGATCTCAGCCAATCTCAGGCAACTGTTAAAGAAAACAGTTTACAGCTAACATGAGCATAAAAAAGAAGGAACAGACCCCACCTATTAAACAGAGAATGAAGCTTGTAATCAGAAACTTTAAAAGAAACAAATTTTTAACATAGCATACACTATGTACCAGGTATAATTCTAAGCAAATACATTTATTCCTTTAACCCTCAAAACAATTTATGTGGTAATAATATTATCCCCATTTTATAGATAAGAAAATTGAGGCACTGACAGATTAAGTAGTTTGAGATTTCACAGGTAAGAAGTGGCAGAGCTAGGATTTGAATAAGGCAGTTCAATGCTACAATCCATGTCCTTAACCACAATCCCTAAAGCATAATTCCGACCCTGGCAATCAAGACAAAAGTGGATCACCCAGATTTCACTGTATGAAGTATGAGTTGTGTTTTTTGGTCCTACATACAGGGAGAAGGCTGTTAGCTCTGAACCCATGTGGGGGATGGGAGTTCTTTGGTCTGTGATGCAGTGATGACCTCAGGGTAAACTGCCACTAGGCTTAAGAATATGGAATGGCTGCTGGAGGACTTGCTCGGGGATAGGGGGGATACAGGCCTTCTCTGGAGCCAACTTACCCATGCCCTGGCCTGTAGATACTGTGGCAGCAGCTGCCTCCAGAGTCCAGGGAATCTGGTGACACTATTCTTATTCATAGTTTGGCAGATCCGGAGGTGGTGGCAGCTTGGGAGGTTGCGACAGCTCCATCCTTGGTTCTCTGGGGACATGACGCAAGGCAAGGTGGGTGACCTCTTTACTATAGATGTGCAGCTGGATGAATGACTGTTGACACCACATGTGAGGTCAGGTGAGGGCTCATTGGTATGGATGAGAGCCCAAGTGAGGGACTATCAGCCCTAGATGTGAGGCTGGCTAAGTGACCCCTGACACTAGATTTGAAGCCAGGTGAGTGATCACTGACCCTAGATGTAGGGGTATATGAAGGAATGCTAATCTTCAGATAAGGCCTGGGTAATGACCTTTAATACTGGATGAGGAGCTGGGTGACTGCTGACTACAGATGTGGGGCCAGGTGAGTGACTGTTCACTCTGCATGTGGAACAGAGACTTTGGGCTTCATAACGAATTTGTGTCTCTGAAGGCTTCATGCCTGATAGTGTCTTTCTGTACTCCCCAGGGCCTACCACTTCTGTACCGTGTGGCCTTCCTTGGTCACCTGTGGAAACAGAAATCAGAGATAGAAGAAGAGGAAGAAGAGGAAGAAGAGGAAGAAGAGGAAGAGGAGGAAGAAGAAGAGGAAGAAGGGGAAGAAGAAGAGGAAGTAGAAGAAGAGGAAGAAGAGGAGGCATCTCTGGATCCACTGAAACCATGTTCTCCTCCCAAAGAAGCTCCCAACGGAAAGCAAGCCACCGCAGCCCCACCCGAGCCATCCTATGGTTCTGAGCGACTCCCCAAGGCCACAGGGATACCAGAGCAAATACTCACACAGCCTTTAAGCCCTTCCAGACTCTTTCCCACCTTCCAGATCCTGACCAACCTACCTGTGAGGCGCAAGATAGGATCAGGGAGCCACCAGTACCATAGAAAAAGCCAGCTCTTCTGGGGTCTCCCCTTTCTGCACAGCGAGTCCTTGGAGGCCATCTTCCTGAGCTCAGGTGGCCTCTCTCCCTTGAAATTGTCTCTTTGTCCTTCTGTCTTTTTCAACAAGCTTACCTTCCTGCCTAGGTCCAACTTGTTGCTTCCCCAGTATCACTCCCCAATTCAGTTTCCTAGCCATGAAGCCCATACTGTGGAAGACCTGGAAGGGATGGCCCTCAGACCTCAGCTACTTCCATCTCCATCTTCTCCTGTCCCATCACCACCCTTCCATCTTAAGCCCTTGCCTGTGGACCATAAGCAAGTCCTATCTAGCACTGAGGCACCCACACAGTGGCTTACACAGCAGGGAGAGGTCGCTTGGGTCTCTGACAATCAAGCCCTGCACTCACAGCCTGAAATCCAAAGAACCAGTCCCTCTACGCTTTTCTCCTCATCTGAGGCTGGGTGCGAGTTGCCATGGGACCCCAGCCTCCAACGACACAACCCAGATTCACCCTCTGCTTCTCTGCTGTATCCTTCTAGCCTTGTGGGAATCCTGACTAGGTTTGAGGCCCCATGGAAGACCATGGGACAAAATGAAGACCCCAAAGCCTCCGAGTCAGCAATGCCAGCTCCTGGCCTAACCCCAGCCTCCCTGCCAGAACTCCATAGAGTCAGCCCTATAGAAGGCCTGTCTGGATCTAAGGCCCTCTGGGAAACCACAGGGCAAAAAGAGAACTGTCAGATCTCTGTGCCCCCAAACATGTCCCCTTGCCAACCCCCAGTCCCTATGACAGAGCCTCAGGGAACTAGCCCCCTGGGAGAGCCCCCTGACTATGAGAATCAGTGGGGAGCCATGGGACACAAAGAGAGCCCCCAAGCTTCTGAGCCTCCAAAGTCAGCCCGCTGCCAGCCCCCAGTATCTCTGTCAAAACCCCAAAATGTCAGCTCTGAAGGAGGTCTTCTTATACCTAAGGAATTCTGGGGAACTATGGGACACAAAGAAGACCCTCAGGCTGCTGAATCTTCAATGTCAGTCCCCGGCCCTCCCCTAGACTCCCTCACAGAACTCCAGGGAGAGAGTCCCCTAGAAGATCCATCCAGATATGAGCCTCAGTGGGGATTCAGAGAAAATTCAGGAAACTACCAGGCCTTTGAACCCCCAGCCTTGGACCTCAACCCAGGACTCCATGGAACCAGCCCTGCATGTGTCCCATCAGGATCTGAGACTCCATGGAAGGGTGTACAAAGTAGAGAAAATCTTTGGGTCTCTACACACCCAGTTTTACCTGTCAGCCTTCCCTCAGACTCTCTGCTGGAATCTCTAGTAATGGAACCCCAGGGAGTCCTGTCTGAATCCAAAGCCTTGTGGGAGACCATGGGACGGAGAGAGAACCTCTGGGCATCTGACTCCTCAGACCCTGCCCATAGCACAGCTCTATCCCCCCGTATAGAATCGCATAGAATCAATCCTGCAGAAGGCCTCACCAGACCAGAAACTACAAGGAAGGACACTGAACATTTCAGGAATTCCTGGGCTTCTGAGCCCCCATCTCAGGCCCTCAGCCCACCCTCAGCTCTTATACTGGAGCCCCAGAGAGTTAGCTCCATGGGGGTCCTGTTTAGTTCTAAGGCTAGATGTGGGAACATAAAAAGGAGAAAGAGCTCCTGGGCCTTGAAGCTCCCAGCTTGCAGCTTACCCCAAGACCTGCATGTAGCCAGCCCCCTGGGAGTCTTGCCTGACTATGAGGCTGCTGGTGGGGATGCAGAGCACAAAGAAAACTGTTGTGTTCCTGTGTTTCCAGGTTCGGGTCCCAGCCTACCACCAAACTCTGTTTCAAAGTCCCACATAAGTGAGCCTATTGGAGACCAGTGCAACTGTAAGCCTGAGGGGGAAGCAGCAATGGAGCAGAGAAAGAACTGCTGGGCCACTGAGCTCCCAGTCCCCAGCTCACTCTCAGCTCCGCTACCAGAGCCACACACTGACCTTGAATTTGTGTGGAGAGGTGCACAACAAAAAGTCCCCCAGAACCCCAGCCCTCCAGAAGTTGAACCCCTGCAGCCAATACCCTGGCTTCCTACCCTAGCTGAAGCTGTGAAGATTGTGCCCACCCACCCTGGCCTACCCAAGGGAGAGATGTTTCCAGGGGCTAAGGCTGAGGCCCCACTCTCCCAGAGACAGGCTGTCCCAGAGGTGCTCACTAACCCTGGGACCCATGCCTGGCACTGGAGCAAAGATATGAAACTTAGGCTGAAGACACTGCAGCAGAGCCCTGTTTCCAGATCCCCTGGCCCAAGTCAACTATTTTGTAGCTCCCCTGCCTTGAGCTCCACAACTCCAGACTCCTGGGGACTCTCTTCCTGCCCCCCACAGATTTTTCTCCCTAACCTGTGCCACTACTCTTCAAGCTGTCATCCCCAAAAAGTTCAGAGCACAGCACCTCATTCTATCCAGGTTCCCCACTGTCATCACTCCCAATCCTCTTTCCAGCCTCAGCCACGAGGATCTGGCAGAGCAGAACAAGGGCCTCAGAGAGAAGAGAAAAAGGGGAAGATGGTGGCTCAGGTCCCATCCCAGGAGTCATGTGTACACATGGAGGCTGGTGAGATCTATCCAGGCCCTGGAGAGCCCTCAAACCCTGAGGTTCTGGCCTCAGGCAAGAGACAGGACAAGGCTTCAGCCCTATCTTCAGCCAAAAAGGGCAAGAGCCCCAGAAAACCCAGAACGGGAGACCACAGAGGAGGGAACGCAAGATTGGGGTCACCCACAGTCACAGGGAAGAGACACCCTGCCCAGGCCCAAAGACTAGTAGAGGCTCCTATAAGCACACTTTCCCCAAAGTCTCAACACAGGGGCCAGAGCTCTCAACACACTGCTCTTTCCCAGAAGCTTCTCCCCAAGGCTTCGGGTCCCCATGACTGGCTGGGGAAAAAGCTGAGAGCTGGTGACATCCAGAACCCTAGCCACTGTAAGCACTGTCCTTGGGCCCACACAAAGAAGCATCTCTCTTCCCCCACACCCCAGGCTCACCTTACCTGGGGTCTTCAAAGAGTGTTAGCCAAATTTTTGGGTAACCGTGGACCCCTGCTCACCAAATCTAGCCAGTAGAAGGCTGGTAGTACTAGCACTTAGTACCCCAAGACTGGAAGCCAAGCCAGGTAGAGGGTGGGGAGATGGAGAGACAAGCAAAGGAAATCCTAATAAACTAGCTGAACTAGACAAATTCCATTCATGTCTTCTTTGGAGTCTGGAGTACTGGGAAAGTCAGTTCCCCTCTGCTGCAGCCATATTCCCTCTGTATAAAGTCCCAGAAGTAAAGAGCTCAGGATTCTGAAGGTTTAGTTTTCCTTTATAGACATTCACAGATGATCACTTCTGGAGTCTACACATCCCTACTCTACAGGGAGCAGAGCCCAATACTGCCCTTGAGAGGCAAAGACTTCACAGCATGTGAACAGAAAAATACATCCATTCACCTGAGCACAAGTAGTCTGGGTCTAGGCAGCTGTTCTTGGTCCTTGGATATGGTTCCCTTCTTCACCCACCTGACTCACGAGTTCTGCATATCTCTTTCTGACCATTCCTTCTTTGCTCTCTGCTCTTTTCTCTTTTTGGGTAAGCTCATCCATCCCCAAGGCCAGGAAAACAAGTGCCTTTCCATATGTTTAGTAACCATTTGGATTTCCTCTATTATTGCCTGTTATATCCTTTATCCTGTTTGTTGGATATTAGTTTCCTGCTATAACAAATTACCACAAAACACAAATTTGTCAGAAGTCTGACACAAGACTCACAGAGCTAAAACCAAGAGGTTGGCAGGGCTGCACTTCTTTCTGTAAGCTCTGCATAAGATTCACTCCTTGCCTTTCCCAGTTTCTAAAGGCTGCCTACATTCCTTGGCTACTGGCCTCCTTCATCTTCAAAGCTAGCAAAGGTAAGTCAAAGGTCTTCTTCTCACATTGTATCACTCTGACCTCTTTTGCCTCCTTTTTCTACTTTTTTTTCTTTTTTAGAGACAAGATCTCACTCTGTCACCCAAGCTGGAGTGCAGTAGCCCAATCATAGCTCACTGTAACCTTGAACTACTGAGCTCAAGCAATCCTCCTGCCTCGGCCTCCCAAGTAGCTGGAACTACAGGCATGCACCACCACACCTGGCTAATTTTTTTTTATGTTTTATAGACATGGGATCTTGCTATGTTACTCAGATTGGTCTCAAATTCCTGGGCTCAAGCAATCCACCTGCCTCAGCCTCCCACAGTGCTGGGATTACAGGCCTGAGCCACCACACAGCCCCTCTTCCACTTTTAAGGACCCTTGTGATTACACTGGGCCCAAACTGGATAATCCAGGACATTTTTCCTATCTTAAAGTCAATTGATTAACAAACTTAATCCCTCTGCCACCTTAATTCTCCTTTTCCATGTAAAATAATATATACACAGGTTCCAGGGATTAGGATGTAGACATCTTGGAGGACCACTATCCTGAGTACCAGAGATATTAACTCGACCTGTTACGTATGTTGCAAATATTTTCTCCCAATCTGTAGCATATTGTCTAATTTTGTTTATGGTAACTTTTACTGTACCAAAGTTCAAAATTTTTATGTAGTTAAATGTACCAACATTTTACTTTATGGCTCTAAACACTTTCTTCTGGAACTTTTATAGCTTTATGTATTTGTCTAGATTGCTAATATAATTTTTATGGTATGAGGTGAGAATCTAACTCCCCCTCTGCAAATGATGTTCAATTTACCAATACCATTTTTAAAAACTAGAATGCATATTCATCTCATATTCAACTTGTCCAAAAACCTACTCATTTTTCCCTTAACCTTTTCCTACAGTGTGCCCATTCCTATCAAAAGGCATCACATCCACCTAAGCCAGAAACCTGTCATCCTTGATTCCTCTCCCATCTAATCCATCATCATAGCTTGTCAATTATACTTATGAAATGTATTTCAAATCCATTTTCACCTCCCTCTCCATCTTCACCATCACCGTCTTAGTTCAAACATCATTTCTGACTAAATTGGTTGTCCTATTCCTTCTAATCCATCCTCTACATGGCCACAATTCTCTGAAGGTCAGTTGACCCAATCTGTTCAACAAGTGTCATAAAAGTTTGAGTAAAAGGCCAGGCACAGTGGTATATGCCTACAGTTCCAGCTACTCAGGAGACTGAGACAGGAGGATTGCTTAAGTACAGGAGTTCTGGGCTATGCTGACTGGGTGTCCGCACTAAGTTCAGCATCAATATGGTGACCTCCTGGGAGTGGGGGACCACCAGGTTGCCTGAAGGGTAAACCAGCCCAGGTTGGAAAAAGAGCATGTCAAAACTCCCATGCAGATCAGTAGTGGGATAGTGCCTGTGAAGAGCGACTACACTCCAGGCTGGGTAACATAAGACTATCTATTATTAAAAAAAAAGTTTAAGTAAAAGAACCTAACAGATGCATCTTGTAGTTTGAGATTGAATGTTGGTTTGATCAAAATAGCTGTGAATGACATTTGGGTCACTTGGGAAACTCTGAACATGGTATGGCTATTAGACTGGTTCCTAACCTCCAGAAAATTTACTAAAGAGAAAGGGAAAGATTATTGACCAAAAAAAAAAGTTATAAAGCAGTATGATTGCCATTTGGTTTTAAAAATGGCACAGGTATAGACACACATATTTATACACATACATAGAAAAAGATCCAGATGGGACTGTAAACTAGTACAACCTCTATGGAAAGTAATATGGAGATGCCTCGAAGTGGATTAATAAAATGTGGTACATGTATACCATGGAGTTCTACTCAGCCACAAAAACCAATGGTGATCTAGCACCTCTTGTATTATCCTGGATAGAGCTGAAATCCATTCTACTAAGTGAAGTATCGTAAGAATGGAAAAACAAGCATTACATGTACTCACCATCAAATTGGTATTAACTGATCAACACCTATGTGCGTATATAGTAGTAACATTCATCGAGTGTCAGGCAGGTGGGAGGGGGAGGAGGGGATAGTTATATTCACACCTAATGGGTGCAGTGCGCACCATGTGGGGGATGGACACGCTTGAAGCTCTGACTCGGGTGGGGCAAAGGCAATATATGTAACCTAAACATTTGTACCCCCATAATATGCTGAAATAAAAATAATAAAGAAAGAAAAAAGGAAAAGATCCAGAAAGATAAGCACTAAAGTCATTAAGATGATAACCTCTGGTTATTAGAAATATTATTTTTTAAAATTGTGGCCAGGCATGGTGGTTCACACCTGTAACACCAGCACTTTGGGAGGCCAAGATAGGAGGATCACTTGAGACCTGGACTTTGAGTCCACCCTGGACAACACAGGGAGACCCCATTTATACAAAACATAAAAATAAAAAAAATTAGCTGGGCACGGTGGTGCATAAGCACCTGTAGTCCTACCTATTCAGGAGGCTGAGGTGGGAGGATTGCTTGAGCTCAGGAGTTTGAAGTTACAGTGAACTATGATCATGCCACTGCACTCCAGCCTGGGAGACAGAGCAAGATCCTATCTCAAAAAAAAAAAGAAAAAGTGAGGTTCTGTGACGTCAAGCCCAAATTCTCAATCCAGTGCTCTTCCCACTCTACCATATATTCTCTAGTCTGTATATTTGGTTGAAAAAAACCACTCAGTCAGAAAGTACATACTGTTCCTCTCCTTTCTTTCACCTAACATCACTATTCTGTTCCAAGGCTTTATTTAGCCCAAATCTGTCTACAGGGTCTGAGTCCAAAACTCACCACCTGCTGGCCAAGGGCGGAACTGAAGGTACTTTCCATCCCCCACTACTATGGTCTCAAAGATAATGTACTTCTGAATTTCCACTTGATATGAGAACATTTAATGAATCTATGCTTCTCTTGACACCTTTATAAAAAATCTGGGGATGGAGAGGCAAAAAAGGAAAAGAAAAAAAAAGAAAAATCCAAATCCTATGTTCTTAAGTCTTTTAAAGCTCTTAGTAGGTTATAGGGCTGGGCAAGGATCAACAAACCACTTAACATTTGCCACAGGGGGAGGCAGGTGCAGAAAAAAGAAAAAAAAAAAACATTTGCCACAGTTCAGTCGAATGAATAATTGGCAGACCTGTGTTCTTCATGGGCATTGTATGTCCACTGGACTCAGAGCAATTTGTAACTGCTATCTTAAGATCCAAATACATCTTAGGATGTTAGGTTTATAATTCCACTTTTGCTTTTGCCTCTATGGCATACTGACATACTGTTGGTCCTTCATTTCATGCATTTTTTTTTTTTTTTTGAGACTGGGTCTCATCTCGCTCCGTTGTCTGGGCTAGAGTGCAGTGGCATCATCATAGCTCATTGCAACCTCAAACTCCTGGGGGCTCAAGTGATCCTCCTGCCTCAGCCTCCCGAGTAGCTGAGACTACAGGCATACACCACCAGACCTGGCTAATTTTTCCTACTTTTAGTAGAGATGGGGTCTCACTCTTGCTCAGACTGGTCTTGAACTCCTGGCCTTAAGCAATCCTGCCACCTTGGCTTCCCAAATCCTGGCCTCAAGCAATCCTCCCACCTCGGCCTCCCACAGTGCTAGGATTACAGGTATGAGCCACCAAACTCTGCCCATACCATATTCTTGATCAGAAACCTATCCTGTAATCATGATTAACATGTAAGAAGTGATTAGCTACCATAAAATCACATCCAATTTCCTTCTAGGAATGCTGTGAAGGGAAGACAGACTGCCTATACAATTTGCCTCTTTTATATGGATATAGACTTCTGCAGTTTAGAAAGCATTTGCAATCATTTTATCAGATTAAGAAACTTGAGACCTCAAAAAAGCTAAGCATCTTGTTTATAGCTACCCTGCTGTAAGCACAAGTGCCAAAACTAGAACCAGGCTTCCTGACTAAGATTGGCCTCTGGCTACAAGTCTTCTCTTGGTTTTTCCTAAAGAACCTACAGAGGTCCAACTGTCTTCCCCACAGACAGACTTTGTGTGACAAGTGAAAGCAAACCAATTATTCTAACACAAATTTCTATCAACTATCAACGGTATCTCTAAATATATTCAGGGGGGAAATGATACTTACCTCGTGTTACGTTTCC